AAGATTTTTCAACAGTGCAACGAACAAAGTGACTTTTGCGATTCCTTAACATGCAAAATCTTCGTATTTCTTTGCTTATTTGATTGAAGCGCACTTTTTCACGCGGAACTACATTTTCCCATAATTAAATTAACGTGCTCTTAAGAGAGCCCTGATGATTTTTCAACAGTGCAACGAAAAAAGTGACTTTTGCGATTCCTTAACATGCAAAATCTTCGTATTTCTTTGCTTATTTGATTGAAGCGCACTTTTTCACGCGGAACTACATTTTCCCATAATTAAATTAACGTGCTCTTAAGAGAGCCCTGAAGATTTTTCAACAGTGCAACGAACAAAGTGACTTTTGCGATTCCTTAACATGCAAAATCATCGAATTTCTTTGCTTATTTAATTGAAGCGCACTTTTTCACGCGGAAATTCCAATTTGGCCGCACTGAAGCAACATGTCAAATTCTGCAGGAGTTTTATGGAAGAATCTTGAGAGGTTCGGATCGATGGCCGATCCTCCGGAGGTCCGGATCGATCTATTTGGCCTGGCAAAATTGCCAGGCGGTTTGTTAAGTTGAAAGTTTGAAAAATTCTGTAAAATCAGCGCCCGCCTTAGCACGATGAGATTTGGTGTAAAAGTAGCCCGATGCGTTTCCAACACCCTGTTTGAAATTTTGCCACAATATCCGCAAAAACTTTGAAACCACAATGAATTTTGCCAAAGAGCTGCAGTGGTCAGAAACAATCAATTTCCATCCCAACGTTTGCAGGCTTCTAAATATTTATTGGTGCCTTGGATTGAAATTTCAGCCAGATGAAGCTCAGATGTGTTTTGAAAATTGTGCAGAAACTTCCAATCAGGTTCCATCCCAAAGTTTTCAAGCTTCTGATTCCGTCCTGCCACAGCTTTCAATTAAATTTGGCCAAAAAACACATTTTTTAAAGCTTCTCAAATAAACAGAGCGCACACTGAAAGCTTCTCAGACTCATTTTTGTTGGCTCTGTTTCAACTTGAAATCGTTTAAAGTTTAAATCATTTTAACATCGAGTAAATTAATATCTCAACATGGAAATTAGTAACAAATTGAACCGGGATGTAAACTCTATACGTTCCCTCATTAAAATTTATGTGATGTTATTTGGTAACAGGCGGAAACAAACTAAAACTAGAAAGCAAATTTAATCAGGACTGGTGGGTGTATGGATTAGCATCTCTAAGGATTGGACCTGACTATTATCTGGCTTTAGTTGGCAAACAAATGTTTCATTCCCTGTTGTCCAACAAACTTACTTTTTAAATAACATCCCGCTCGATCCAATAAATTTGTTGTCTGCACTTTTGTTTAGTTATTTGAACTTTAATAAACAGAGCCTGTTTTGTCCGCTTTATTAACGAAATGAGCGTGTTCTTTCCAGAGTTAAATACCTTCAGCAGAGAGCGACTTTATGGATTAAGCGAGCAATTTTCCGCTTTGACCCTCAATGTCGAATAGCAGCAACTTAATAACGAAAAAAGCTGTTGCCTTTCTGAACGCAGCACGAACGTTTTGCCTTCACCTCTACATTTAGTTCCACTTAACCCTGACCATCCCTGCTTCCATTGATGCTAAATTTATTCCAGATTCACCTTTTCCTACTTCAAAGAAGATCGATTTCTGCGAGCTGTTCGAAAATTATGTATGAGCTTTCTGCGTTAAAGCTCTGTTGCGAATGATGGAATAACAAAAGGTTGCTGACAGGCGAAAATTTGTAAAAAGCATCGGCATTTTCATAAATTTGAATCCTTTATGTAGAACGTTTTATGTATGTGTCTTTCTTACAAAACAACATTTTTTGCTTCGTGTTTTGTGAATAGCTTTAACGTTAAATGAATGGGGAGCTTTTGGAACTGACGAGCCATTTTCGCAACCCAACTGCGCTCTATTCCTTAAAAATTCATAACTTCTGCATTGAGCTAATGCATGTAGCTACTTGAATTCTTTCTCGTTGTTAGGACACAGTTGACCCTAAATTCTGTTAAAGTTTCATGAAAGTCTGCCCAACTGTTAGGTAAGACTAGAGAGCCAGTAGCGACTTGCAAATTTTTCAACCTTTAGAAGACGTTTAACAAGAAGGATTTTGAAATTGCTCAAATTCTGTTTTTCCCCCCAAAGCGCTCTTGCTTTAAAAAAATTTCCCTCCCAAAACGGAGCAAACACACATTTTTCATATTTTGTTAAAGACACTTGACGCTATCGACACGTGAAGCTTCATCAAAATAGATTTAAATTATGTTTGCATAGCATAAAAGCAGGTTGCGAGCATAAAAAGCTCGTAACGTGCAAACGACAGCCAGTAGCAACTTTAGATTTTCACGGCCCTTCGAAGACATTATTTGCATGTATTTTTTTAGGAATGAAGCA